AAAAAAAAAAAAAATCTTAAAAAAAAAACTTAATTCAGTCATAGGCTATGTTGTCTTTGTCTCTAAACTTCACTAGATTTATAAAGGAATTGCCAACTTTTTTCCTTAATCAATGGATGAGGATTTCTGCTATATCCTGTTCAAGGGATTTTTTGTTTGTTTGTTTGTTTTAATTTGCTTAAACTCTTGCATTTTTTTTTAAGTTTATTTATTTTGAGGGAGAAAGAGTGGGGGGGGCGGCAAAGAGAGAGAATCCCAAGCACGTTCTGCACTGTCCATTGATAGTGCAGAGCCCAGTTCAGGGCTCAGACCCACAAACTGAGATCGTGACCTGAGCTGGAACCAAGAGTCAGACACTTAACTGGCTGAGCCACCTGGGTGCCCCATAGACTCTTACGTTATTTTCTTAATGAAATATTTCTTTACAGGTCTGGAAAGTGAAATCAGAGTAGCTTAATGGTTAAGTAACTTACGTGAAGTCTTTTTAATCATACTCACCTGGTATATTAATACTTTTTCAGGTATTGCTGGCAATAGGAAGAGACGCTTGCACAAGAAAACTTGGCTTGGAAACCGTGGGGGTAAAGATAAATGACAAGTAAGAAAATTTTATTGTGTCTTACTGAATATTATTTCAGTTGTTGATAATACTGATTAATAGTGGAGTTTTAGATTGTTGGAGTTAGTTTTTATCATAGTTGGAGATTTCCCTTTTTAAGCCTAGAGATCTCTTCCTTCAGTGCCACTCACGTTGGTATTTTCTCTTTGTTTTATTTTGTTTTTTCCTTTTCAAAATCTAAGTGGAAGATAGGGCGGCTTGCAGTTTGTTTCTTTAATGTGCAGTGTATAGAATAAAAGAGTCTAACCCCCCAGTTAATTGCAGGCATGTGCTTTGAGCTTTACTAAATAATACGTAGATCTGAACCATGTTGAGAGCTACTAAGTTTTAGGATGATGAGTGGTCACTGCATTTCGAGTGACAGCTACAAGTATGAAAAACTTACTTGCAAGGGTTGAAGTTAAAATCCTTTGGCCTATAGCAGTAGAGGAGATAACTGAGACTCAGTGGTATCTGCTTATCTGCTGTCTGGGGTATTTCCCAATATCACCTTCCTTACAGCCAAACAGAAACAAGTGCTGTGAATGGGAACTGCCTTGGAAGCTAAAAAATAAAGGTGGTTTTGTTTTGTTTTGTTTTTGTCCCTTCTAGGAATAACATCTATTCTGGAGAAGAGACTTCCTAATCTTAGTGTGAGGATTTTTGTTTTACTTATTTTTTAACTAGGGTAGACAGAATTGTTGAGGTCACCAATAAGATTTAGCAGACCAAATATTGCACCAGCATAATAAACACGCTAGCCTATTTCCAGGGGGTCCAAAGCTTAGATTTTATATAATGGAAGCAGCTAACACTTATTCTGCACTTACCGTGAGCCGTGGACCGTTGTGCTGAATATTTTGTACCTATTTTCATTTAATCCTCACAGCCCCTTAAGGTAGTTGGTGGCATCCCTTTTCTTCTTACAGTGTTCTCATTATTATTGTTCGCACTAATAGGTGGGAAAATAAAGCTCAGAGATATTAAATAGCCCTCCCAACATCATAGAGGTGACAACTAACAGACCTATAGTTTAGAATACACATATTCTTAACCACTCTGTTGTAGTTTTCTCCCAGGTTTTCTTACAGTTTTCTTATTCCAGAATTGTCTCTAAGCTTTTAAAATACTCATTTATTTTTATTTTATTTTATGTATGTAGGTATGTATGTATTTTTAAAATTTTTTTTTTTTTTTTTTTTTTCAACGTTTATTTATTTTTGGGACAGAGAGAGACAGAGCATGAACGGGGGAGGGGCAGAGAGAGAGGGAGACACAGAATCGGAAACAGGCTCCAGGCTCTGAGCCATCAGCCCAGAGCCTGATGCGGGGCTCGAACTCACAGACCGCGAGATCGTGACCTGGCTGAAGTCGGACGCTTAACCGACTGCGCCACCCAGGCGCCCCTATATGTATGTATTTTTAAATAATACGTTAGAATGCTGCCCTTTGCTAGAGTCACAATTTTGGCTTCTTTGGGAGAAAGGGGAATTTTTTTGTTCCACTTAATTAATAGGAGTAATTGATGATTTTAACTGAATGAATTTTCAGGACTGGAAAAATACCTGTCACAGATGAAGAGCAGACCAACGTGCCTTATATCTATGCCATCGGCGATATATTGGAGGGGAAGCTCGAGCTCACCCCAGTAGCAATCCAGGCAGGGAGACTGCTGGCTCAGAGGCTCTATGCTGGCTCCAATATCAAGGTGAGCTTGTGGCTGACACCTGTTGATACTGGTTTTAGTAACACCACTAGTTCTCTAGGGGTAGCTGTGAAGTTTTCCAGGTCTTGAATAATTTAGTTCTCTTGCTGGTGGCATCCTACATGTGCTCTATTAACTGTATTCCAAACAAGACATCGTTAAGACTGCTGTGTCTTTGTGACTTTGTTATGAAAATTGTCATTCCTGGAATCACACTGGGAAAAAATGAGCTTGACTAATCAAGTTTCAGCACTATTATTGTGTTCCATATTCTCATAATAGTTGGATTTTACCCTAATTTCATTGTTGCCAATTTCAGGATAATTTTCTAAATCTTTTTATGACACCTATCTAGGCTCTACAGGGATTTGGGGATCTAGGTGGTAATCATGTGCAGAGCTGCTTAAACCAGAATTCAGGCTTTATTACCTTGTCCTTTCTAAAAATATGTCTTCTGCTCTTGGAATGCTTAATGTGTTATATTAATGTTTTAAAGTGATTTTTTTAGTCATTGTAGGAAATTGAAACTCTTAAGTGTGTTTCATGGGACTAGATGTCATGGAAGGAATAAATATATTCTGATTATTTTTTAAGCTTATTTTTTGGAGCAGTTGCACGTTCACCGCGAAATTGAGATGAAGATCCGAGATTTCCTGTGTTAGTCCCTGCCTGCATACATGCATGGCCTTCCTCATTACCAACATTCCCTCCCTAATTAATTTTTTGAAAGGATTCCAGGAGCATAGATTGTAAATAATTTAGTCGCTACCCATTTTTCTTGCACATATCATCATGGGTTGATTTATGTTGGTTTCGGGAACAGAAACCTCAAAGAACACAGCTTGTCAAATTTGTGACAAGCATTCCCAGTGCACCTGGGGTTAGTTTGCATAGTCGTATAATACGACCTCATGTTTTGAAATGAACAGGATTGAGGCTAAAAAGAGTTTGAATCCCAGATTGTCTGATCATCCAGGACGTATAGCATCTGGTTCATATTACTGTTTGGGGTACATTTAACTGCTTCTTTGAGTGAGTCCTGTTTTGTGTTCATTGTTGCAGTTACTGACCAGTAAACTGAGAAAAGCGTATCTACAGATATAGCTTGAGATGCATTTGATTTGCTCTTGACCCTGTGTCTTTGTGTTTCCCTAAAGTGGAGATATTTTTATATACCAACAATAACCAAAGGGAGCACTTACAAAAATCTACTCCTAAATAAATTTGAAGTTAAAAGTAGCACAAAACTCTTCAAAACCTTTCCTGAATGTTTGCACCCGCTTTGGACATAGACAGCCTTCCATGTGTGGGTGTGGTGCTGTATTCTGTCCTCTGCTCGGTAGAGCAGGTGTTTTCTGAGAGGGCCAGAAGCTTTTATCAACGTCAGAATTTAATGTAAGTTAAAATTAAAAGACTCTTTTTTGTTTTTTTCCTTATCTGTAGTCTAATAATAAGACAGATGCTTGACCAAATAGGAAGATCAACAGGTGCTGCTCAGGTCTCTGAGTTTGAAATCTTACTGGTCTGTTCATCAGTGTAGTAAATAAAGTCGAAATGCCAGCAGGTATCAAGGTTAAATGTATTGGGGGAAATCACATATTTTTTTTTAAGCAACTGCATAATTCCTTTAATTTCGCCCAATGTGTGTGAGAACTTTAGCACATATCAGAGAGGTGAGGGAATCCATGCCTGCCTGTCTCCCGAAGAAGCAGCTGTCTATGGAAAAGTTTAGCTTAACATAAACACCTGGCTGAGTTTAATCCCTTGTGGGATTTTAAGAGAGCCCAGATTGAATTGTGGGTGTTCGTGCCTTCCTCCAAAATTGCTGTCATCTATTCCTCATCGCTTCCCAAGAGTGTTCAGAGGAAAGGAGACAGAGTGTGACGTTTGAGTACTTGGGACATGCCTGGTAATGTGCTAAGTGCTTTGTATGCATTGTCTCATTCAGCCTCAGGGCAGCTATGGAGATTGCTGACACAGTCCAGGGAGATTAGGTAACTGTGCAAAGTCACAAGGCTGGTAGGCAGCCATAGCATAAATGGAAGTCTCCAGTACTGCTGTCTTTTTTTTTTTTTTTTTTTTTTTTTTTTTTACATTTATTTATTTATTTTTTTTAAAAAAATTATTTTTAACCTTTATTTATTTTTGAGACAGAGAGAGACAAAGCATGAATGGGGGAGGGTCGGAGAGAGGGAGACACAGAATCTGAAACAGGCTTCAGGCTCTGAGCTGTCAGCACAGAACCCGATGCGGGGCTCGAACTCACGGACTGTGAGATCACGACCTGAGCCGAAGTCGGACGTTTAACCGACTGAGCCACCCAGGCGCCCCTACATTTATTTATTTTTTGATAGAGACAGAGCATGAGTCGGGGGGGAGCAGAGAGAGAGGGAGACACAGAATCCAAAGCAGGCTCCAGGCTCCAGGTTCCAGGCTCTGAGCTGTCAGCACAGAGCCCGACAAGGGGCTCGAACTCATCAGCTGTGAGATCATGACCTGAGCCGAAGTCGGACGCTTAACCAACTGAGTCACCCAGGTGCCCCTGTAGTACTGCTGTCTTACTCATGATGATTTATTGCCTAAGAAAGAAGATTTGGAAGGTATAGATCATAGAAGAATAGGGGATGGGATAGGAATGATGTTTCCTTACTTTTTTTTTTTTTAATTTATTTGTTTTGAGAGATACAGAGCACAAGTGGAGAAGGGGCAGAGAGAGAGGGAGAGAAGGAGAATCCCAAGTAGGCTTTGCGCTGTCAGCGCTGAGCCCGATGCAGGGCAACCCCACGAAGCTGGGAGACCGTGACCTGAGGCGAAACCAAAAGTTGGATGCTTGACCAACTGAGCCACCCAGGCACCCCAGTCTCCAGACTTTTAAAGAATCTACCAATTTGCAAACACCTCTGTAATGTGTAATTTTCCTAAATGAAGTGGAAAATACATCGGGAAAATTTAACTGAACCTTTTTAACACTTAATAATGATTAACATCATTTTCAAAACTTAAAAATATTTGCCACTAAATACTAAATATTCCATTCTTTAGGGAACATAAATGAGGGAATGAAAAAAAAGTTTTTATCATTTCAAAAACTGATAGAGAACAGACTATAAAGCTGAGTCAGCCTGTGGATGACAGATATTCCACTAAGCCCTTTTTTTTTTTTTTTTTTT